CTATTCTATTCTATTCTATTCTATTCTATTCTATTCTATTCTATTCTTCTCACAACCGCACTGAAAAATTTGACTTACGACCTTTTTTCATGCTTACAACCTTTCCAGCATCCCCATGATCATAGGATCAAAATTCTGGGTTGACAGCTGGAAAGTCATTGTACAGGAAGTCCTCAACGTACGACCATAAAAGGTTCAGAGGGAAGCTGATGGCTCTTTTCCCTTTCTCCTTCTCTTTGCTATCCTAAAGGTGGTGGCACACTTAGAGACGGACCTGGGGATTGAGGTGGAGAGCGTGGCCATCCGCAAAATGAAATATTCCTTCCAGATCTGGTCAGCTATGATGTCTTCCAAGAGCAGTAATAATCAGGTATGTCAAAGGCAAATCTTTGCAAACGTCTTTCCAAAATGTCTACCCTCAGCCTGCCTGAGTGACTGGCCCTCCCCCAGGACAAAGTTACAGGTGAAGCATAGGAGGAGCACAGACCCCTTAAGAGTAACCCCCAAATGAAAGATCCTCTAAAACAGGGGCATCCAACCTTGGGCCCTCCAAGAGAAGATCTGGTATGCATGGATTGCCCATGTGACTAGGTAGGACAGGGAGGGAGGGAGCTAACTACCAGATTGCAAGAACACGAGATTGTTGGCCGAGCAGGTAGAAAAATAGCCAGGGAAACGATTGAAGCCTGAGAAAAGGGCCTCTTATCAGTCAAAAGGAGTGCTGATTGCTAAATAGCAATAGCACTTAGACTTATATACTGCTTTATAGTGCTTTACAGCCCTCTCAAAGCGGTTTACAGAGTCATTCTATTGCCCCCAACAATCTGGGTCCTCATTTTACCCACCTCGGAAGGATGGAAGACTGAGTCATCCTTGAGCCTGGCGGGATTCGATCTGCCAAATTGCAGTAGGAGTAGCTTACAGTACTGCACTCTAACCACTGGGCCACCAAGGCTCTGGAAAAGTCATCAGACACCTGGATCATATTACCATAAGTGGCGGTCATGCATAGAAGCTAAAAGATATTGGACAAAAATACAAAAACATGGTTGGAAAAGATGATACAGCAACATATTGATTTAAAACCAGAAATATTTCTGTTGGGGATTATACCCGAAATACATAGTAAGGAAGAGCTATCCTTAATCATTCATGTATTGACTGCAGCTAGAATTGTATTTGCACAAAATTGGAAAAATGAAAAGATCCCGACAGATGAGAATGTGATCAGGAAAATATTAGAATGTGCAGAAAGGAACAGGTTAACACTCGGAATGAAAGAAAAGGAACAAACTGAATATTATATGGTATGGGGATCATTTTATCAATGGCCGGAGAATAAAAATGGAAATTAGAAAATCTAAGAAGACTAGCGAAAAATAGTAAACATGAGAATAAGAAATTAAATATGCTAAGAATTGTTGTTATAATTAGATACATCATGTGTATATAATTAGATATATCATGTGTATGAAGTAAGAATAGAGTAAATGATATGATAGTAATGAATATGTATTAATTGTAATGGTTATTGCACAAGATATTTGTACTCAGACGACACACCGTTTAGATGAAAGATGGATTGTTTATATAAAATAAAATAAAATAAATGTATTTAAAAAAAGGAGTGCTGATTTATCATCAGCCTATGACAGTGATGGCGAACCTTTTTGTGGTGGTGTGCCGAAAACGGCGCGTGCCGTTACCCACAATGCAGTGCGCCCTGCCCCCCCCGTGCATGCACGCGCAACAACCCTGCCCCGCCCCCTTACCTGCACTGCACATGCGCATGCCTCCCAGCTGATTTTTGGCCCATTTGAGGCTGTTTTCACCCTCGCGGAGGCTCGAGGGAAGCCTCTACAGCCTCGGGAGGCCAAAAAATGGGCCTTCCAGAAATATCGGAGGTGTCCATTTTCAGCCTCCGGAGGACCTCGGGGGAAGTTGTTTTTGCCCTCCCAGAGGCTCAAGGGAAGCCTCAGGAGCCTCAAAATGGGCCAGTTTTGGCACTTCCGGTCTTTCCGGAAGGCCCGTTTTTTGGCCTTCTGAGGCTGCAGAGGCTTTTCTCGAGCTTCTGGGAGGGCAAAAACGCCCTCAAACGGGCTGAAAATCAGCGGAGAAGTGCGCGGATGCGCAGTGCAGGTAAGTTTGGCTGGGGATCGCGTGCCCGCACAGATGGCTCTGCCTGCCACCCGTGGCACGCGTGCCGTAGGTTTGCCATCGCGGGCTTATGAGGTACTTAGGAGCCAAAGGCAGCTCGGCAGCACAAAGAAAAGACAGCCAATTACCAGCCATCAACCCTCCAATCAACCAGCCAGACACCACATAAGTACTATGCATAGAAGAGCCAAAGCATACAATTTCCAGTAGAGAGGAGTTTTCTGAGAATGGGCTTCAGCATGGAAAGCACAAAATACTAAACCTCTGGTATTGTTGATTGGTTCCTGCAACGTGTTAGTTAATTGTCCTCTGAAAAGTCAGCTACAGCTGCCAATTTTCCATAAAAATAATACTAAGAATGAAGAGATGGGCCAGAAGAAGGAAATGTCCCGGAGATCTCTCCATCTGTGCTTCTTTGTCCATGTTGTACATAGGAAAATCAAACCTTCACTGATTTGCTTGGAGACCATGGAAAACCAGTATGGCCATCATGGGAACTGGTGAAATGGATGATGAGGCTCTCTTCTCACACGTTTCCAGCCATTGGTAAGACCCCGGGGCAGTTCTTAATATTGGTACTTTGCCGCTTCTATTTTTTAAAGGATTTGCCCTAGGTAGGATGTTGATTAGAGGAGAAGACTTCCAACATCCCTTCTAAGCCTAGAATTCTATGATTCTACGTCATGGGACTCTACTCATCTGTCTAGTGCAGGGGTCTCTAACATT